GCCTCCAACCCAATAGCGATGGCCTCCAACCTACTGGCGATGGCCTCCAACCTACTGGCGATGGCCTCCAACCTACTAGGGATGGCCTCCAACCCAATAGCGATGGCCTCCACCCTGGTAGCAGGTGAGGGCCTTTGTCCTGGAGAATACGGAGCTTCCTCGTTTCGCACATGCGTTGAGGAAAGCCACCTTTAGGCCAGGATCTGCGCTAGACGGCTAGACGACGCATGGGAGTTGAAAGGATCCTGCTCTGTCCTTTGCTCCTAGTAGCTTCCTTGCTCCGTTCGTAGTAAGGCCAGGAGCCCCTAGTAGCGTTAGAACCACTCACTTCAAAACTTACTTGCATCTGTGGCGATTATTTTGTTTGACTCAACATTCGTTTGTGCTTGTTTGGCATGTGGCAGGCATGTGTGTGTGTACTTTGGTTGCATCCGTGTACGATAGTGGACTCGAAAAATGCAGTAGGGCACTTGTTCATTGGATGTCATCGCTTCCAGAATCCCTGCGACCAGGCCCGTCTTCGATGCTATCAAGCTTTGTCGCTTGGACACAGACGGAACAGCGCTGCCACTTCGGAAGTCGTGTCTCTTTGGGATCTCGGATTCCACCTCAAGACAAGTCGAAATGACTCCGTGTTGAAGGCGTTTGTGGCTTTGATCCATCTTTTTGGGGGGGAGTGTCTAGTGTCTATAGATGTGTTGTGGTGGTTTGACACTTTTTGAATGATGTTTAAATTGTTTAACCATATGAATATGGTGTGGTGGAATCGGTCGCTCTAGTAAAGTGTGTGAAGATGATCCCACTCGCTTCATCGTTTACCCGGCTGCTGGAAAAACTTCATCGGGGCAGAGGAAGTCTTCCAAGACGGGATACGGTGGTCTTGTCGGTGGTAGTTGATGCAGATGCATTTCGGTGGGTGACAAAACAAAGATGGAAGGCATCACCCCATGCCGCCCACGCCTGTATTGAGGGTCAAAGCCCACCTCACATGAGAATGTAAGGGGCATGTCTATAGCTGATCGATGGTGATCGTGGATTGGGGTGCAAGGCCTATTTCAATTCGCAAGTGTTGGCTTTTGAGCTCCAGAGAGAGGCGTCTTTTGTTCGAAAGAACCGGAAGGGCGGTACTGCGAATTTTTGCCTCCGTAGGGAGTCATATGTTTGGGGAAGGAAGACCTGGGGATCTATAAATTGAGCTTCACCACCATCCATTTGAGAAGGTTTGAGTGTCCCATCTTCATAAACCTTTTTGGGGCCACACCAGGCCACGTGCAACGGTGCAAGTCTGTGGATCGAACGAGGCGACTTCTACATCAACAGCCACATGGACAACCCCCGCTTCGGACTCAAAGACTGGGACGATGCGAGGAAGGCGATGGGTTTTGGGAGAGAAGATGGAATTGGAATTGAAAAGCGCCTCCAAGAGCAAGGGCGGATGGATATGGTGAAATGGTTACGTTGATGAGTTTTCTTGCACTTGTGGAATCAAATCAAAACGCTTTGAAGAGCCAAATAGACAGAATAGAGATGAAATGATGAATAGAGTACCCGGAGATGATCACCTGCAAAGTTTTGGATGGTCTTGGCTCATCAGCAGGAATACCCTGCATATTCTCCCTTCACGGAGTATCCCTGACGTTGTGAGGGCCGGTTTTAACCCGAAGTACACGCCTCTTAAAGAGACATGCAACGGACGGACGCGATAAGACGGAGCCAAGAATCACCCAAAAGGTGCACAACAGAGGTGGGTCAGGACCCGACGCCCGAACTCGCCTATCCCAGTTGGGTAATGCAGGTTTTCCAGGTCCTATGGTCCCGGTCACTTAACCTACCTCTCTTGGTGTGCATCACAATGGACATCCCTTCCCCTCCTTCGATCGATGCAGTCCAGCAGGGGACGAGCCCCGCGTTCAACTTCGGACAGACCTTGTCGATGGGCGTGGGAGAGCTCGAAAGTTCCGTGGCGGGAGGGGCTTTTGTTCCGAGGCCGTCCTTTCTCGCTCCGTTCGAGTCGCGATGCCAGGCCCCGTTCGTAGCGTCCTTGCTCCCTTGATGCTGGAGTGGTGCAGAGTCCAGAAAAAGGTAGAAAAAGTGTAGAACAGATATGAGAAGCGGAGGCCATCGCTATTAGGTTGGGCGGCAGAGCGGCCTTTCGAAAGAGAAGCTGAGTATTTGGGTTGTTGCCAGTTTGGGAGGTTTACTTCGGTGCGCAGCAGATACCTATATCATCCTGTGTCCTACAGCCATGCTCGATCCGCTAAGCATCGTTTGGGGTGAAACACCCGGCGATCGGCTCATCGCTCATCGGTGCGGCCATTCTCTAAGGCTTTGCGAAGCCTGCACCTTGGCGCTTACGAGCTGAGCCAGAGCAAAGTTCCGAATCGAACACTCGCTTACTTAATAGCTACTAGGAGCAAGAGGGGCTCCTGGCCTTACTACTAGGAACAAGGACGCTACTAGGGGCTCCTGGCATAGCTACTAGGAACAAGGACGCTACAAATAGCGATGGCCTCCAACCCAATAGTGATGGCCTCCAACCTAAATAGCAATGGCCTACAACCTAGAAACGATGGGACCTCCAATCTACTAGAAATGCCCTCCCTAGCTCAAAGGTGAGATAGAGATGAGATGAACGTGAGCGATGTTCGCCACAAAAGATGTTCGGGCTGTGGTTCGCTCGCGTGCAGGTTGCTTTGTCGGTTTGAAGATATGATGGGTTCGGATGATGTCATCAGTTATCTACAAAAACAATCTCATGGTTGCCTTTGCGCTGCTGTTAGCGCTTCCTACTTCCTCCCAGATCCCTCCACTAAGATTACACTCCCTGAAATATTCATGGACGCGGAGTTGCACTGAAGGGCGAAGACCAACTCTGAACATAGGGGCAAAGATCAGCTTGAGTATCGGGCACTCGCATCCTTCTTACATCTTCTTACCGTAATTCATTGGGTAAGAAGTGCGTGTGACAATAAGAGACCAACACGGAATATTGAAAGAACTGAAGACACACCTGCTTAAATAAATAGCTATGTTTCTCTCCCATCCAGAACTTGTTCTTTCAATGGATTGTTAAAGTGAAACAAAGAAATCCTTGTCCATCATGTTTAATGATCGCAACAAAATCTTTGCTGCGTTTCCGCGCGCACAGCGCGCGCCTCGGCTGCTTCTTGCAGGTCCTGGATCTGGTGAAGGTGCCGGATTTGGCCATGCAGGTCTATGAGGGCTCCAAACAACATGCCCCTGGGCCGGGTCGCGTCACTGGCACCCCCCGCGTCACTCACATGCGCTCCTGCCATGAGCTAGTTGCTATCCAACCGAAGGCGGCCAGGAAAGAACTGGAAGTCTCTCGAAAGACCCAAGTCATCTTATTTTAAACTTAGGGTGTCCATCCATGTCAGACCGATTCTCTTTCTGAAACGCCACGGACCGAGGCTGTTTCCATGTGGTACCGAAGTCACCGAGCCGGTGTGAAGCTGGGCGTGATCCGCTTGGATTACCACTATCCCCCCGCACCGGGTGACGTGGATCACCCAGGCGGGCTTCACGTGTATCTGGCCGGGCGTCCTCGTGTTACTAGTAGTTTCCGTGCTCCGTTCGTAGCGATGCCCTGTGTTACTTCTTGCTACTAGTAGCTTCACTTGCTTCTTGAAAAGATTTACCAACTGTTTCCCAAGCACCGCGCCCGATGAATGAGATGAGTGATGCCGCAGTGATGCCAGAGACTTCGCGGCAGTCTTCGTCAGAAACATCAGCTGGCAGAGTTTGGCCACCTCTTCAGGTAGGAAAAATAGTGTTACTAGTTACTATATGTTACTATAGTTCCATTGATTTGTCTCCAACAGAGGGAACCTTCCCAAGGCAGACCCATGTTGAGGCAGGGTTTAAGGTGTGTTGATCGCAAGATCCCAGATGATGCGGACATGAGCTGACAATTGTTTAGGCGAGAGGGGATGTTCTTTTCACGTGGTTGTTGCGGCTGCCCCAAATGTTCATTCAAAATGACAAGCACAGTGGGTTAGTCACTACTGTTCTGATTGGTAATGGAGGGTTGATGTTTCACAAGAATAATTCCAACGGGTTCTGTTTCAATGGGATTTCCAGCAGTTTGTGAGTCCAAGCGACACGAATTTCAAGTATTTCTTCAATTTCTGTTCATCCTTTTTTGCCTCTAGTAGCTTCTTTGTCACTAGCAGCAATGGCCTGCCACCCTACTAGCATCCTTTTGCCTCCCAAGTGCTGAGTCAGATTCTTCCCCAAAGTCGCGTGATTCGCAGTTCGCAGAGCGAACCCGTGCCGCGCGCCACGCGAGAGGCAGCTATGGCTATGAGGTGCTCTATCACATGGCCCACTGGGCAGCAAATTTGAAGGGGAAAAGCCTCCAGACGACACTCTTGGCACGTTTTGGGGCCAGGCACATGGTGCTGATTCAGCTATATATGCACCTAATTGTATCTAAAAAATCGAAAAGGATTTGAGCCTAGCGTTAGATGGAAATGATGGAAGATATAGCCTTTCTCCAAATCCGTCGATTATCTCTTCTAAGACCCCGACGATGAACCCTGGTCAGGAATTGGCAGAGAGATGGAAGACATGCACGCACACGCTACCATACTCTACCCATGTCCAAGAATGTTGCTTTCATGGTCCGCAGAGGTTTTGATTGTACACGCATCGTTTTGCTAGAGCAATCTCGGAAGACACATCAGTCAAGCCTCAAAGTCGAATCCATCCAGCATCCGTCCACTCTTGGTCAATGGTCGCGGAAGTGTATCGCCAGTTGGTCGGATGCAAAGAGTCCACATGAGTCTTTTCACCAACAGGCTCCAGTAGTAACAAGTGCATTGCTAGTAGTAACAGGTGCCTTACTAGTAGTAACAAGAAGCTATTAGAAACAACAAGCTAATAGCAAACATTGTTACTACTAGTAAGGCACTTGTTACTACTAGTTCCGATGAATTCCGATGATATATCCATTACTAAAGTGTAATGCCGTTCTTTTGTGGCTCCAACGATCGACGCACCGGTTTCGCTCCATGTCTTGGTTTCAGGTTCAGTTGGTGGGATGCCCCATCGCCCGAGGTGTCGGGCCTAACCTTTGAGATGTGCCAATCGGGGAAGCTCACGCCCGAAGTGCAGGAGCCGACTCGCGTCATCGCGACGGTGGCCATCGCGTCATCGCGGAGGTGAAAGATCCTACAAAGAGCTGGGGGGTCATGTTTTTTTGTACCAACTCCGGTGAAGTCAAACTGACTGGTCAGGTCGCGTGGTTTGAAACGGCCTGTTTCGGCAGCTCGGGATTCAGGTGCAGTCGGTGCAGTCGGTGCAGATGTGGAGAGCTAGGCAGTCTAAGAGCTCCACTTCCACGCAGCTCCTCAGCAAAACGGTCCATCCAAACCCCTCCAAAGCTGTCCTATTAGGACGCTACGTTCGGGGCTCCTGGCCTTACTACTAGGAACAAGGTTCGCTACTAGGGGCTCCTGGCATCGCTACGAACGGAGCAAAGGACGCTACTATACGTAACGAGCAATTCTCTCGCAGCCCTCCTGAGTCACACTCCACCACCTGCGAGGATCGCTTTCTCAAGGGTCTCAAGGAACTCGAGGCCAAGGGCGCTTCCGCCACTCGGTCACGTGACGTTGGCACCCCAGGCTCCCAGGAAGGCTAGCGATGGCCTCCTACGCAGGCGATACCTAATAGCAAGGTGTCAGCAGATGCAGTGGCTCCATGTGGCTCCAAGGAGAAAGCTGGCCTGCCTAAGCCCTAAGCTAAGTGCTTCAGGTCATTCCCCGCTGTTGCGATACCAAGCTGCAGCTTTCGGCCAAGCTTTTAGACTTGAAACGCCCTTCCCGGGAGTGTGGAATGGTCGGCACCCCTGAGATTCTGCAGCAGCTGGGGGTAAAGTTGGATGTGCGAGGATGTTTTTTGCTAACATGCATGTGCTGGTACGGAGCTAGGTGCTGCAATTGGAGCCCACGAGCCTTTTGTTTCACGAAATGGCGCGGGAGTCTTCCCTCCACTCCTTAGCTGCGCTGCTTTGTGCAGCGAACGGAGAACTCCGAGCTTGAGGTCATCACCGGGGATTGTGGCTTCATGATGTGGCTCCAAGAGCTGGCGCGGAAGAACACCAAGCTCCCAGTGCCTTGGACTTCACCCGATGGTGGGATTCAATGGCGATCTTGGAGGTGGGGTCGAATGAGCTGTGGAAGAAACATACTACCGGGCCTTGGTTGAAGTGGGAGTCTCCGAAACTTCGATTTAGGAACCCAGCTACTAGTAGTAGCAAGAAGCTATCAGGATGGAGGCCATCGCTATTAGGATGGAGGCCATCGCTACTAGTAACAAGATTTAGTATTGATATCTTGTTACTAGTAGCGATGGCCCCCATCCTAATAGCTTCTTGCTACTTGTAAAGGGAGTCCCCGAAACTTTGATTTGGGAACCCAGTTGAGCTCCTAGTAACAAGTGCCACGCTAGTAGTAACAAGTGCCTTACTAGTAGTAACAAGAAGCTATTTAAGTTTAATTCTAATAGCTTCTTGTTACTACTAGTGAGGCACTTGTTACTACTAGCGTGGCACTTGTTACTACTGGAGGGCAGAACTTCAGACATCGACGCGATGCATCGCCAAGAGGATTGAGCAGAGGATGAGTAGGTTCCACAGGATGTGAGTAAAGGTGCTAGAAGTTCAAGTGCCCAAACACATGCTCCCACAAGTAGGCCCTCAAGAACCACAAAACACTTGCCCTTCCGAAATCCTATTGCCTCACTACCTCGCCGTCCGAGGTCATCATGTCCTCCTTAGCCACACTGCCAGCAATTACCGCCTCATACCACCGGGACGAGAAGATCGCCATCTTCACCGCCAACGGCAAAAGCCTCCTCAGTGGCCCGGCAAACCACCGCGGTATTTCGTGGTGAAGGATGGGTGGAGGATGAAGGTGAGACAAATCTGGTGAGTAGGAAGGGATCATCCATGATAATCCTTTGTTCAATTGGGATTCAAGCTGCCAGTGGCTATAGTTAGTAGCAAGGACGCTACTAGGTGGAGGCCATGGCAAGTAGATTGGAGGCCATCACTACTAGTTACAAGAAGCTAGTAGCTATTTGCTACTAGTAATGGACTCCACCTAATAGCGTCCTATACATGTCACATCATGTCACCGGACTCGGGATTCGAGACGCCTCTTCGCGAACTTCTCACAAACAACACCTGGGCTCGCGCAGCCATCGTTGGTCACACGTTTGCAACCATCAATACACTTCAAGAAGTTGCACTACTAGTAGCAAGAAGCTAGGTTCGAGGCCATCGCTATTGACCAATTCCCCGAAACATCACTCGGGTCCTCTCAGCGGAGGCTTTGCTCCCCGTTGAGTTGCTCGTGTTTACTGAGGCCCTTGGTTAACAAAGTCGTTGACAACCCTATTCACGAAAGGTAACCTGAGTTCAAATGATTCCTTTGGTTTGATGTAGGGGAATCCTCCCAAATTGCCTGATGTTGGGCTCGCGAAAGACGGCTCCTTCCTCTTTCACCCACACTTTGGCCTCTCGAGTTCTCTTCGAGTCTCGACTCTCCGCTGACATCCACCGATCCCAGCGATGAAAGACCTCATCATGAAGGAGTGTGGCGTGGACGTCAAGGACGGCGCCCCAGTGGAGCGGGTGTTGGTCGCATTCGAGTTGTTGGTGTCTGCCACAAAGGTTAGCGTTCTCGACCTATTCACTGCACAGTCAGGAGAAGTTGATCACTGTTTTGGTACAACCTCCCCTGTTCAGGATCATCATCCCGTATTGTCGTGATTAGGGGCCATCCAGTGGGCACTGGATAGAATCTCCATGGTGCAGCATTACGTAGTCTCACTCAAAGACCAGGATTGATTGGGGTCGATAGAAACTAGCCGAACAGGTTGACCAGCGCCAGCATAGCCAGCAGAGGAAACTGCGGAAAACCAAACCGTCCATTGGCTTCAACATGAGACAGCATCTTTCTGCAAAAACGACAACGAGACCCCTCCCGCAGCAAACCAGAGACCTCCGGCACGCTTGGCTACGCAGCGCTTGGCGCCAAGTCAAAGCGCACGGGGCCCGTCGACGCGCAGCGGCGCTACGTACGTCGTGCGCAGGACGAGCGCTATATCTTCGTGGGATGTGAAGAGGTGCCGGGGTTCGAGGCGGTGGCCGCCGGAGAGAAGGTGGACGCCGCTTGGATTTTCCTCGCGGTGTTTTTTGTGGTGGAGGAAGTTCGGAGGTCATTTGGGATGTGAAAAAGGTTTCTTGGGAAAAAGGAAGGGTGTTTTCAATTTGATGGTCATGTGAGGGTTTTGTTGAAGTTTCCAAGACCTGGTGTTTGGTGATTTTGGGACAGAATCATGGTGACTATGGTGGTCTATGCCAGTCTATTGGGAAGTTTCCATGGGGAATCACTCGTGTTTGCCACTTCATAACGAAGGTTTGTCCAATCTGGCATCCAGATCCGAAGGGCTTCTTGCTCCTAGCAGCGATGCCAGGAGCCACTAGTAGCGTCCCTGCTCCTAGTAGTAAGGCCAGGAGCCCCTAGTAGCTTCTTGTTACTACTAGTAAGGCACTTGTTCCTAGTAGCTTCTTGTTCCTAGTTGATCCGAAGGGCTCGTGTCTTTGAGATTTGGTGAGTTTCTAAAGCACCACATGCATCACCTGCGCATTCTCTTCGCCCGGTTTCCGGGCGAAGTGTTCGCTCTCTTGGATGACTTGACCCACCAACACACCTCGAAGACCCACCCTTTCTTCTAGCTGAGGTTAAGAAGGTGACTCCTGGCATCGTGAAGAAGGCTCAAGAGATCCTCAGTGCCAACCCCAAGGCCGAATTGGATGTTAAGTCGTTGCCAAGGTTGTTCCGTCCATTCACTCCAATCCGGCATGCATGCAGCTGGAGGTCTTGTCCAACCTCCGCCAGCTTCATGACTCACTCATCTTCATGACATCCATGACTCAGTCATCCACCTGCAGAGACTTTCCAGAACATCTTGGAGCCGTTCATTGGGCTGCCGGTGTGACCCGCCAGGTGCGCTCGATCTTGATGGAGTGCACGGAGCTGCCACCCTACAGTGATGCCGTGCGCCACGTCTGTGGTGTGCCGGTCTTCGACGCCATCACGGCCTGTGACTTCTACATCGCCGCTGAGCTGCGAAAAAGAACCCTGGAGGCCATGGCTACTAGGGTGTTTGGAGGCCATCGCTAGTAGGTTGGAGGCCATCCCTAGTAGGTTGGAGGAGCAAGAAAACGGTAGCATCAAAAGGAGTAACACGCAAACTGTCCGCGCCTCACCGAGGCTTGCCATGTGGATAGCCCGAAGATGAAGGTCTGATCGGCGTCACTTGGTGGGTGGGTCTGACTCTCGCTCGGACGACCTCATGGGAATGAAGGGACGCCGGGTGGGATGTGTGTGTGTGTGTGTCGTACACTCACCTTGGTGTCTTAGGTTTTTACTTGGGCTGGCGAGTGGCAAACAGCATTTTGAGTCAGTACGCATGTCCTAAGTGTGTGGCAGTGTGGTGTTTTATGTCTTGTTGTTAAATGTTAGTCCTTTTCTCAAGATGCAGTTCATGCATGGTTGTTCCAATTGACATTGAGGATTTGAGTAGAAACCCAGAGGTGGTTCGGACATGATGGGCTTGTGGACTTCTCCAACCCGCAAAATAGAGCTCGTCTAGGAGTGCCGCATGGAAAAGGATTTCTTTGTCTTGCCGTTCTGTGGGGAATGCCACTGGCCCTATCCATGCCTGATGGAAATCATGCTTTGCTCCAGACATTTTTGTGCCCTTGGGTTCATCTATGAGGTTCACAAAACCTACAAGAGTGTCTTCTGACAGCCATGTAGACACTCCGCGAAGTAGAAACCGTCTAAAACGTCGAGCGGCTCAAAGTCGCCGCTGGACAAGCGCAGGAAATGTCGAAAGTCCAACGGTTCTGATCAAGTTCCCTGGTGTGAATGCAACACCAGACCTAGTAGAAATGGCCTCCAACCTACGACCTATATAGTAGCGCATTAGAAGCGGATATGTCTTAGATTCTTACTTGTGTCGAAACACAAGAGGCCTTGCAGCTTTGGCATGTGGCTTCATGTTGGAGGCTGCTGGAGACACGTTCATTCGGATTTCAAGAAGAACACAGACGACCCCCAACAACATCAGTTTTCCATGCCCTTCTGACAGTGTCCGCTTTGCTTGAGCAAAGGGAGACTTGAAGCCGCAGGTGAGTAAGTCTTCTAGGGCCACCGTTAGCTGGGACTTGGTTTCTTGCTTTCAAGACCTTGGTGATGTTCGACTACTCATGTTGCCTCCAACCTAGAAGCAATGGCCTCCAACCTAATGGTGCCAAAGATGTTAGACTGGAATTAAGTTTCCTGTCCTCTCTCATTCGATTTTCCACCAGATGCAAATCGATCATGACATTTCCATCGCTTCCTCTAGAACTGGCGTGGAAACCAACCGTTTTTTTGGGACCTTTTTTGCCACCACGAAAGCTTCCTAGACTCGCGCTGCAACGAAAAAAGGGATTCGTGTCGAAGGCGGGCCGTGGTGACGCGATTCACCTTTCCCCCTGAGTAGAGGAGCCCCTAGTAGCGATGCCAGGAGCCCCTAGTTAGCGTCCTTGTTACTAGTAGTACGGCCAGGAGCCCCGAACGTAGCTTCTTGTTCCTAGTACCTGTTCAGTTGCAATGGCAGCTCCTTTCGAAAAGCAACACTTCTTGAAGCTAGGAACAAGTGCATCGCTACTAGTAGCTAGAAGCCACTAGTAACAAGGTCCTGCTTGAGCATAGAATTACTGTACTCCATATCATCCTATGCCTTCCCGGTGGAGGTTGCATCGAAACGGGTTTGGGGTTCCCTGATGAAACCCGCAGTGAACTGCGACTCGTTCAATGATGTGGCCAGGTGCAACTGTGTTCTTACTGCAATGGCCTCCAACCCAATAGCAATGCGGTGTTCTTACTGAAAGCCAGAAAAAGCACATGTTAAGGCAGTTCAGCTTTTTCGACGCAGATTTCGCCCGGCACCGCAGTTTTTTTTGCATGTCAGGGCCATCAATGAGATGGAAGGGCACGTGATGAGATCCATAGCGGCCGACATGTGGTGGTGGGTCCGATGGATGATGTTTGATGGAGGATGCTCAAGGCTAGAACCACTGGAATCCAAAGTCTGATAGTAGCCTAGCCTTGAAACGAATGGATCCATATATGACTATAAAACTTCAACCAACCTCGACAGACCGAAACGAATCCATGCGTTCTTGCTCAATGACTCGACGATCTTCCGAGCCTGGCTCGGTCGATTCAAAACCCAACGGACCCACCGGCTGAGGCCACGCGTCGCGTCACGCGTTGGGACGACCCGTTTCCCCCGGTCGCTGCTCATCATGGCGCTCAGCCCGTGGCCCTTCCTCTCGAGCCCAGAGATCCGCAGCTCACAGCTGCGGGGCTCCAAGGTGCAAACGCGTAGCTTCTAAAACACGATCGTAGTATTGGCCTAGAATCCCTAGAAGCCTTTGTTACTAGTAGCGAGAGAGGGCGAGAGAGGGCAGTTTGGCGGGGTCAGTTGTTGCTGGAGCAAGTTGGTGGAGAGGAGTGGAAGGTTTCAGGGGGCGTATCCAATGATTTCCAAGAGGTCACAGAAGTTTCTGATGGAAGCAGTATGGAGGAGATCGCTAGTGAACCAAGGGTTCGGCTGTAAGAAACCGTTCTGCAGCCTTGCGGCTCCACCAAACCGATGGGGTTCGGAACCAAGAGGTTCCAAGGTCAACACTCGCCACAGTCAACCTGAGGAAAAACGGGCCGAGTTTTCGGCACCCCGGTTGGACCGGAGAATTGGATGGCCCCTCCCTTTACTTCGAATGATTGAACCCACCAACCAGATGTGGTCATTTCTTCCGAAGAAACACAAGACATGAAAACAAAGCCTTCGCTTCGCCTGTGCCCACAGGTGAAACCTGCCCTTGGGATGCTGCTTCTGGACGGCAAAGAACGACCCTCCGGGCGGCATGGAAGCTTTGATCATCCGGGCGCCCAGGAGAGAACGGTGAAAGGAAAGGGCCTGTGGGTCTGTGGGTGAAGCTGGAGGCTACGCTACGGCCTCTACGGCAAAAAAGAGAAATCATGGATCAGCGCTGAGGGAAGATCATGAAGATGCTTCTTTGAATACCCAGAAGGTAGTAAGTACAAGTCTTGGGCATCTCGGTTTTGGGCCAAGTGGTCAAATAGTGGTAATATATTCTGAAGACCCTTCGAAAGATCTCGAAAGCAAGTTCAAGATGGTGTAGTTCACACCTAAAGCTGAAGCATGTTAAATCCCGTGAGATTGCAAATCGAGGCATTGATCATTGATGATCATTGGAAGCCATTTGCTGGAGCAGCCTCCAAGCTTCTGCGGTTTTGTGTGGTGTCTGGTTCTTCTCAACCGAGGCAGTTTCGACTATGAAGTCAAGCAGGACATGGGGCCGAGTCGAAGGAAAATCCATGAGTAGATGCATCATTGGTTGCAACAAGCCCGATCCCTCCGATTGGTGAACCCAGGCAGCCGATGAGGTGTGTCTAAATCTCGAGAGGGTCAGTTAGGCAGGTTCACATCTATGAAATCCGTCTAGTCACAAGCGATTTTGGGGATTCCACACCCAACCAGTCACCTTACTGAGCCAAGTATTGTGGAGGGTAGATCCCGTGGTTTCAGTTTCACGAATGTATTTCTCTCTTATTCCAAGAAGGGGAATAAACCTACCCTGTTTGTGATATATGATGCGTTTCTTCTCCTTTCATTCGAATTCGACCAGTGCGTCTGGCACACCCCTCCCTGTTGCAGGAAGTGGTGAAAGGGCTCACTGCCGAGGTTTGCCAGTTGGGCAGCCTCACAGAAGAGTTGGAAAAGATGCTCAGTTCGCAAGGGATCGAGTGGAAGTGCGCTCGGAAAAGCTAACTAGCGGGGGTCTCCAGAAGATTGCAAAGGCCTGAGCAGAACTCTATCACTCCTAAATCTTGGTCATGCTTCCCTGGCGACTTTTGAGCCATGCCTTTCTTGGTTAATGTGCTCCCCAGACCCTTTTTGAGTTAAAATATATTTTGATAGATGACACGTGCAGCGCGGGGTGGTCAGGGAATCAGTTCCTTCATGGTTGCCACATGCGTCACTTGAGGAACTTGGCCGAAAGTATTGCAGCGTTGGAGGCTCCTCGGCCGATAAAGTTCTCATCCTCTCATGTCTTTTGAACGTCTATTGTTCGATCAGCCTCTCTCTTCTTTTGCAGTCAGTAGGATAAATGACCACCAGTGTTTCGGTCTAACTAAATATCTATCTTGACAGAAAATGGTGTTGCCGACCCCCCAGGA